TTTTTAACAGTTCCACCAGATTCCCCAGCCACCAACAAGACACATGGTATTTGCATCAGTTATGCCGGTCAGCCCAGAAACCTTGTTAAGCAAATGTGAGTCAATATTCTGGTCAGTATACATAAACATGTGGTCTGGCATCTGCTTCAGTAAATGGGATGGCTATCTGCACTGGGACATAGGTTGCCTTGCCACTAACAATATTCTCATCCTCAGATGCATGACACTGGGCATTACAAAGCAAACAGGACATATTTTCCCCATTATCATTCAAATAAATTTGTTCATATCCTCCTTCATCAAAATGTCTATTGAGCAGGTGCTCTCTGAAACACAGTTCAATTTTATATCATCTTAAAAAATCAATACCAAGCAACAAGGGAATATTCATAAGATTATTGCTAGTTTCTGTCACTTGCAGGCCATGCTTTGAGGCTAATTCCACTGTCATTAAGGAACTTACAGCTCCTGAATCAATCACTGCTAGCACATTTTGACCATTAATTAGCACATTGACTTTTAAGAGGTCACACAGGTTACACAAAATTCACCAATTTTTCTAGAATGCCAGAAGCTTCTGAATCTAGTTTATCTGTCACTTTCCTGGGGACATAATTCTGGTCATTGTCTGAGCACTCTGAATGTACAGAATTTGCTGCACTGCAATGTTCCTCTGAAAGTGAAATTCTAGCTTGCTGGTCATCATTGCAGTTGGTCAAGGGTGCTGGCTTGGCATTTGCAACCATGAGGTCTGCAGCACATTTCACAGCAGAAGAGCCAGGTTTTGCAGCAGTTGCAGTGGATGATGTAGCAGGTATTCTGGCAGGGGTAGAGGAATTGAGTCTACTCTTCACCAGTGAGATTTGTCAGTTTAGCTGATGTCGTTCCTGGGACTGTGATCTAGACTTGTAATTAGGGTCATATTTAGGACAAGACTCCCTCTTGTGTTGTTTGCCACACATAAAACATGCACCTTTCTTCCTCAAGCAATCTTTCTGGATATGGTTTGGTTTATGGCAATAGTTGCATAAACTTCTTTATGGAGAGGCAGATGCCTTAAAAGCATGATGTTATTGCACCTTATCAGCTGGACGTTGGCTTTCAAGGCCAGATTCAGGATGAGAATCCTTCGAATGAGTGGGTCTTGATGGTTTATATTCCTTGGTATCCATTGCTCCTGGCCAAACTTTGGCTATGCTGGAGTGAGGCACTTGACCCACAGCTTGGTCACTCCACATGATAGTTTTGGTCTTGGCCAGTGAACGCTGTATATATATAAGTCTGTTGCCATCTGGATGACTTTCTTGAAATTAAGGTGTTCTGCCCTGCCATACAATGAAACTTTGATTGTGCACTCAACATCTGCGATTTTTGATGAGATTGAGGCTGGGAGTGAAGAAAGGAAGTGTTGCAACTGGGAAGCACACTCTTTCTTAGATTTTGGGAATGCCAGCTCAGCAAGGCTGATGAGATACATGCCATGCCATAGATGTTGTAACACTCACAGCCCTCCAGCAGACAATCTTTGAACTGTTGTTTCCAGTAATGTTGCCCACCAATGCATTGTTTCTTACAAAAATCTAAAAGATGTTCTTTCATCTCTTCATGGCTTAGTCTTCTACCTCCTCTTATCTCCATATACATTGAGAAGATTGCCCTGCAAATATGATGACAGCTGTTGGCATTTGTCATGTGTAGTGCCTCTGAATTTCTTATCAAAGTATTGGAGGCACCACAACTTCACGCCAATCATTTTTCTTGGCATTGTGGTGAGATCTAGAGGATGTCCACAGATCCATATCCTCAGACAACTCCTCATTACCAGAATAAGCAGAGGGGCTATCAGAAGAGGTGGAGCTTCTTATTGAACCATCACTAGAAGAGACAATAACTTCCTCCAACTTCACTGGCCTTTTCTTCCTTGTAGATTTCCAACTACATTAGTTTGCTTTTTGGTTGCCTTGTAAATATCATTACAGGAGTATTTAGTTCCTCTCTGATTAAAAATAATGACCTTGGAGTTTCATTCTTAGTTTTAATAATGGCATTTGCCTCCTGCACTGCATAACTATCAGCAGGGATTATGTGGGTGCAACTTGCTTCAGCTGGCATGCAAACCCAATATCTGCTGGATGCCATCAACTCCAGTGTTATCATCCACTCCCACTATGAGAGGCAATCTTCCATATTATACACTGAGGTCACAAATAAATCTTAACTTTTGCTCGCAAGTTTTTGCAAATGATGTACAGCTTCTTGGCTACTTGGATTATTGGTGCTAAAGTTCCACTGAGATGCCATTGAGGGAATAATGACCACCTTACCTCATCAATCCTGGGTAAGAGGCTTGGGTTGATGTTATACCCAAAGCAGCCATTCATGAAGTCAGCTCTCACTCTGGGCACTGCAAACTGCTGGAGGACAGACTGCAGCAATATGACTGTTGACAGGTCAGTCCCAGGTGCCATGTTTGGAGTGGTGCCATCATCATCTCTGATCATCATGCATTTGGCCGCCCCTCTCCTGGAGATAATTCACACCAGGACTGTCCTGTATCTGCTCATGCTCCCCATTGGTCTGGTTTGATAGTTCTGATTGTGCTTGTTCAGGGTGTAGTGGTTTGGAAGGTAATTGTTTGGAAGACATTTTCAGATGAAGATATCAAGAGTTTAAAGTGTGATGAGTTAATAATTGGAATAAGTAAGTCGGAGATGCCAATGTTGTGGCTCATTGGAATGCTTATGTTGGGTTCTTTAGTCTCTGGCCATAATTTAGGTGAATGAAAGTGTATTCTTCTGGATATGGACGTATTGTTAAAGTACAGGGTAGGGTTTACAGATACAGTTGCGAATGGAATGAAGTGTAACCAGACATTGGGATAGTGTATGCCATTGTGCATTTACAACGACCTTGTCCTCTGCAAGCTTCATAGCAGCCACCATACCTATAGCATTTCTTCTGTATCTGTAAGCTTACAGGACGGCTTGTAATTTCACACCATTTTAATTACGTTAAGTGAATTTACTATGAAGAAAAAAGATTGTGAAAAACATATCTGAAACAGAAAGGAATATTTTAGTGATAGCCATAATATTTTTTGGAGAAATAAAATCATAGTTTAGGTTAATTGCTCTTCATTCTTTGTTGCCTGGTGCACAATTATATCTATGACATTCTATGCACAATTTTGTGATGACCGATAATGCATTAATTTTTTGTTAAGTGAACTTATTTTCACTGAGCAAGGTAAATGTAATGAAAATTTTTGTTGTTAATTGATTTTTTGATTAACTGGAGCCTTTGCTAATCAAAGTTCTAATGTAAAAGTGTTTATAGGTGTGTCCTTATTAATCTGGGGAGGTGTCGAAATGGCCGCCATTTTTTTGTTAGAGTGAGATACGTAAGTTCCATCAATCACATTTGTAAGCCAACACCTGTGTGCAACTTTTATGTAAGTAAAATTTTTTAATGTGGTGAATATATTTTTTTTTGCAACAGACCTTAGCAGAGGTACTTCTCCAACATCTCACTTTGCACACTTTTTTTCAGGGATTTTTTAGTGGTAGTAAATGTATGATTTCTTAATTTGCTGTATGCTACATAGATAGTAAAAATGTTGAACTTTACTCCACTATTTTTAGTTTTGCAATATTTTGGTTAGTTTGCTCCTACATTTCTGCAAAATGTGAGACGACTGTCCTGATTTACCATGCCCGTCCCTTATTACCCATTAGACTGTAGCATGAGAGATCAGTGTGACCATTTCCTTGCAATCTTGCCCAGTAAAGATTACCTATATGTAAAAATCTCAATATTTAAGTGTGTGAAAGGGGAAAAAAAATAATCTATAGAAATCTAACCTTAGTAGCATGATTATTTCATCGTTTCAAACAAAGACAAGCAGTAAATGATATTACTTCATGTCAATAACCCAAAGGCAATGTAAATAAAAATAAACATTATTTTGAATACCAATGTAGAATAAAATTATATCCAACATGCCATCATTCAATGCAACTCTTAAGGCTGTAAGACAGACAAAGGCATGTCCTAAGTCATTCATCAATCAATGTCTCACTATGATTAGCACAGGTTGGACTAACCAAAAGGGTGTAAATCTTGTACGGTAAAATACAAACAGGTACATACATATTACACACATGATAGAATTCCACAAAAACTGACTTATCTTATATACCTCTCCTGATATTTTGCAACAAACAATTTATCAGGCTAGACAGTTCTTGAGTAAATGAACCATAAGGAGCTTTAAAATTCCACTATACTCACCAAGTGTACCCATGTACTATCTTGTTCAAAGGCTAGTCGGCCATCAATACATCATCATAAAACAAGTTTTCCAACAGTAGGAAGAGAAAAAAGAAAACATTTAAAAATTCTAACATTTAAAAATTGATAGACCAAATTAGTGAACACCCATTAAAGTTCTAGGCTCAGTGATAGAGCTTCCCAAAGGAATAAAACTAATGTACAAAATTGTACTCTCTGAATAACTATTAACTAGAACAGCAGTTTTCACTAATGATTTTAAAAGCTCACTATGCTCATTGTAATTCACTAAATAAGAACACTTCTATTTAAGTTATTGCTGATGCGTAATAACACTTCAGGGACAAACTGCAGGTGACTATTTTTTACTATATTTATATGTATTGATTACATTTCTCTTAGTATTGTGTAGCTAGTGGGGGTCAGCAATCATTCTGTCACCAATTCGTGCAACATTGTGAACATTGCAGAATATTCACAGCTTGCTGCAATTTCAAACATGCAACTCACTTCTCCAATATTGCTATGCTTAACAGCCCAACCTGCTTGCCGATTTGACCAGAACTCTGTTGCATGTAGCTGGGATCAAACCCACAATTTTCTGCTCCAGTTTTAGTATTCTGATGTAACCAGTAATCCTGCCCAGCCTCATGTGAACATATAACTTTCATATTGACTGGCATGATCTGGTTATTACAGTTTTTTTGTTCTCTTCCAGAATGTTGTGTTTGTGTTGCATAAGCCTGCAGAAATGTTCTCAAGTTATGGTCTAAGTATGTGTTGCATTCAATTTTCAAATTACAGGGCTCCAGAACTCTAATTTGACCGATTGATTGATTTTAGGCCTAATAGTGAAAAACTAAGTCCGTTTAAAATTAACTGAAGCTTGAGAAAAAAATCAGGAACTAATTTCTGTAACAAATGGTGCTATAAATACTACTATCACAGTTAAAGAGCAGATTTACGCAACCAGTCTGCCCGGTCTACTGGTTTTATCCTGACAACCAAACAGGATCATGGATAATGAGCAGCAGCAGGAAATGATCTATTTTATTCCTGATTTATTCAAGTAAGTATAGACTAGCTGACTCAATTCATTATGTTCATTCATAAAATTTGTTACAAAAACCAGTTATCATTATTTTTATATGTTTTTTTTATTGGCTAATCTCATTTGTTTGTAAAGTTGATGCAAAGTTAATTTACATATGTTAATTTACAGGCCTGATAAGAATGCATCCAAGGAGATGGTTGATGCTAATGACCCGTTCATCAGTGAAGAAGCCATGAATGTCTACTGCCGCTCCCTCCTGCATCCCAACCTCCCTCCTGGCCAGGCTGGTCCCCATGTGGGCCTAGATACACCTCAGTCCCTGGGGCCAAAATTCTTTGCCAAGTCAATAAAGGTTAGTTAAATCAGGTTTCATGAACACTAGCTTGAAATATTATTTTTAAGATATCTAAATACATTTTTTTATATTCTATTTTGAGCTTAAGTACAATAGTGTAGAAATTTTCATTCAAGCAATTCAGATGCATTATGAATAATTATATACTCTTTTTGTTGAGGAATAGATTTTTCTTCACATTTATTCTTCTTCGTTATATTTTGTATATAGATATTTTGAAATTTCAGTTGAAAACTAATTTTGGCTGATATCCACTAATGCTGGTGCCATAAAAAAAACTGATCTCCCCTTATGATTTTACAAAAAAAAAAATTTAGACTGGCGCTGACTGATTTTACTTACTATGAATGCTTGGTTGCAAGTGATGGGCAATTTAAAATTTATATGAAATTTTATCATTCCAGATTCACCAGGAACGACTGTTGAAAGATCTTGAAGACGAAGCTGCTGAACTGCAAGCCCAAGAAGAGAGGTTGAAAAAAGAGGCTTTGGTGAAAAAGAAACTGGATGAAAATGTATGGAAGGAAAAAAATTAACTTGTTTTCCTTCTCAGATAAGCATTGCTGATTAGCTAGCTTCCTTTAATATAGATATGGATGAAGATCAAATGAAAGTCAGGGCTCTTGACCAATTTCTCTTAAGATTGATTTTTGTTTCTAAAAATTTGAAAGTACTCATATGTGTGTGATGAATGAATTACTGTACATGCTTATCATTTTCTATTCTACTGCTTCTCAATTATTAACTCTTTCACAATCTACATGCAAAATATTTTATACAGGTCTCCAAGGTAGTTAGGAAACAGACAGTTTACGTGAAGCGCTCTTGCCCGGTGAAAATTCCCTACAAGTCACGGCTGACGCACGACGAGCACGCGCTCTACCTCATGGCCTTCCTCAAGTACCAGGCACGGCCGCCCCGCTCCTTCCTGGAGCAGCAGGAGTACCAAGCTTATTTGGTAACTAAAGTGATGATCTCAAGACTTAATGTGGTACATGTTGTCTCCTAAGTACAGGTAGCTGCTGATTTATCGTCTGTAATTGCTTGATTTAGCTGGATAAGCTGTCAGTGATTGGCTGACAAAGTTACAGCAAGACTACTTCATTTATCGTCCATAATGTATAGATTTATTCATTAAATGTTACTGTCTCCAGAGTCTCCAAAGCCGCGTGTTTGAAGAGCAACAGGCCATGATGGATTTTGCCAAAAAGGTCGCAATTCTGCAACTGAGCGACTACAACGAAGTGCCTCCCGTGATGGAGGAGTATATTAAGAGATACCTGAAGGTGAGTGGCGTGATGAACGCTTGATTTGTTGCTTCAACGAAGAGTCCCTGTGAGGGAGGAGTACGTTATGAGATACATTGATATATCTGCTTACTCTCAATTGTTACTTTTGTGTAATGGTTTATTAAAAGTTTCTTACTTCTAGTTGTTTAGAATTCAATCACTCATGCTCTTGATACCCTCTTGTATGAGAACTCGAATGGAGTGAATGTACGGGAACTCAAACGAGTAGGTACGCACTATAATCTTTTCCTGTCACTAGCGCATTGGCTAGCGTCACTGTATGTGCACTATAATCCATGCCTATCTCTAGCGTCACTAGCACAGTGGCTAGTCTTGCTGTATGCGCACTAAAATCTATACCTGTCTCTAGCGCAGTGGCTAGCGTCACTGTATGCGCACTATAATCTATGCCTGTCTCTAGCGTCACTGTATGCGCACTATAATCTATGCCTGTTTCTAGCGTCACTAGCGCTGTGGCTAGCGTCACTATGCCCACTATAATCTATGCCTGTCACTAGCATCACTAGCACAGTGGCTAGCTTGGTGTTGCTGATGGATGAGCTTGGGCGCCATCAATAGGTGGTGCTTCCTGCACACCCTTGAGCTGGTGGTCCTAAACAAACTCTGGCTACTTGTCTCTTGAGGATCTTAAGATCTGAGTGATTTATGCCTGTCACAGGTGAGGCACGCGCCTATAAACTATACCTGTCACAGGTGGGGTACGCGCCTAAAACTATACATTTTACAGGTGGGGTACGCGCGGGTACTTGACTATCCTCGCATTTATCACGTGGACCAGGAGATCCCGCTCAGACCTCAAGATCCTCAACAGGTTTTCTCCAGCCTCAGCTTCCAGCACCTTGGCCATCTGCTCAGCCTGGTGAGTCGCCTGCACGGTCAACGCTTAGCCTCTTCAATTGATGGCAGGAGACATTGTAGTTTAGAAATGCTCTGCATCCTTACAAGGAATATCTTAAGTGTGGGTTTTTATGCGAATTCTGCATGCACGTTGAAATTGAGTTTTCATCTGAGATGACTTAAGGGATGCCTGCTTGCTCTCTGTTGTCCACAAAACGTGTTGGCTCTTTCTCTTGTTTCAACATGACTTGTTCGATTCACACAGTTATTCGAGAGCCACTCGATTTACATAAGTCACAGTGTAAATCGTTGCTCTAGGGCCGTACTATCAAAAATAGTTGCGAGTTAATAACTCTGTCAGCAAATCACTGACTGCTTCTTAAGCTAAACCTACCCACGGCAGGTGAAAAATCAGCTGCTGCGTGTACTTAAAGTCTTAAACCATGTGTTTGACGGTCTTTTTGCTGCCTCTTTTACTTCCTAATGGTATCTCCAGCGCCCAGCCTGTTGACGTCGTTGGCTTTTTGTCACTAGCTATGACTGAATTCTCAAACCGGTTTTGACCTCAATTTTTATGGATCAATGATTTTTATGTTCCAATTATTACCGTATTATTTGTCAGTTATATATTTTGCAATGCCTACGCAATGAATTATTGACAGACACGAAAGTGTTTGATTCACAACCATTAAATTTGCTGGGTGACTGCTGTGCTTTAATATAACAAAGCAATGTTTTATTAAGAGATATACATGTGTATACAAATGCTATATTAAAATATATGCTTGTGTATACAAATGCCAAATTAAGAGATTTACATGTATAAAAGCTATGTTAAGGTACATTATACAAAAGCTATATTAAGAGGGCAATACTGAATTGTAATAGAGTATCCTTGTTCTCATGAGGGCGTGGTGCCTTGGATCAAGCTCCCCTACCCTCACATTCCCGTTACGTTGCCCTCGGACGAAGCTTTTCTTGATAAACATCCTCCTGACGCCGTCAACATGGGCAAAGCCCGCAGCCACGGCCGCTACCTCTGCAAGACCACAGGTGTGTGCTGCGCGTGTAAACACCTATAAGCATACAAGACTGATAATACTCATTAATAAAGCTTATTATTAAAATAACGCCCAATCAACTGCTACTGGCGGGAGCAAAACTCGCAACCTCATTTAATTAGAGTTTTTATTCAAGCCTTTCTCATTTATAGATCTTCTCATTTAATTAGGGTTTTTATTCAAGCCTTTCTCATTTATGGATATTCTCATTTAATTAGGGTTCTTATTCAAGCCTTTCTCATTTATGGATATTCTCATTTAATTAAGGTTTTTATTCAATCCTTTCTTATTTATGGATCTTCTCATTTAATTAGGGTTTTTATTCAAGCCTTCCGCATTTATGGATCTTCTCATTTAATTAGGGTTCTTATTAAAGCCTTTTGATTTATGGAAACTCTAATATTAAACATTTCTTTTTAATTCATAATTTTAACACATTTCTGTCTATGTATGGCGTTAAATAATGCCAATGATAATTTCTGATCCGAGTATAGATATAACCATCAAACTTTCTAATATTTTAGCATTATAGGGATTTATGGTTGCATATTTTATTAAGGCACTTCGAAATCACGCATCTAGACGTATGAGCTTCTAGTCTTAAATTCTAATATAAAATCAGTTTTACATTTAAAACCAAAGAATTCTACTCGATAATATAACCGCCTGACTGACTCCAATCAACCAATTTTCAGAAGAAGTTTTAAATTGTTTGACTTGTACGCGCAGTTAGCAAGGACCCGAACTGGGAATTATCAGAAGAAGTTTTAAATTGTTCGTTTCAGAAGAAGTTTCAAATTGTTTGACTTATATGCGCAGTTAGCAAGGACCCGAACTGCGAGTTCTTGGCGCGACAGCACCGCGCACACGTCGTCCTCACGCCCTCCGCCCTCCAGGTCCTTGTCGACAACCCCGCCCCGAGCTTCGACAAGGAGTGGGACATTCCTGTCACCATTCACTCCTTCCCTGTTGAGGGTCAGATTTGAGTGTGCACTTGGTTGGGTGAAGGGGAAGACTTGGCTACAGTCTTGTGGTTGATTGTGGACTTGGTTGGGTGAAGGGGAAGACTTGGCTACAGTCTTGTGGTTGATTGTGGCCATGGTTGGTGAAGGGTAAGACTTGGCTACAGTCTTTTGGTTGATTGTGGCCCTGGTTGGTGAAGGGTAAGATTTGGCTACAGTCTTGTGGTTGATTGTGGACTTCGTTGGGTTAGGGGTAAGACTTGGCTACAGTCTTGTGGTTGATTGTGGCCTTGGTTGGTGAAGGGTAAGATTTGGCTACAGTCTTATGGCTGATTGTGGCCTTGGTTGGGTTAAGGCAAAATAGCTTGGTTACAGTCTTTCCTTATATGGTGTATTTCACCAATTTCACTTTCTCCATTATATTTAATAAATATTTTTATTTCTATATTGATCAGAAATCTAACACTAATTTTTGTTAACCAAATTTTTAGCGGTTTATACATTTTTACTTATATACGGTAGCTTAATCAAAAGCGAAATTTCATATTTTTTCACGTCTTTTTATATATATTTTAAATGGTGCTTGTTTCATCTCTTGATCTCTTTTTGTCAAGAAGCAGCTTAGTTTTTTGCAACGACGGCCGTTATTGTTAACTCCTGTGTTAACATAGCTCTGAATATCAGTCATCAATCAATGTTTTCTGTGTGAAGCTAAGCTTTGAAGAGTTTTTTAAGGCTTTTTTACAAACCGAGAACCGCTCATAATATTTTTTTACGATCTCGTAAAAATCACTCTGCAGATGTATCATCAAAATAAATATTGGACATATCCAGGATAATAAAATAGTTAGTAGTAATCTGAGTGTTGCTTGCTAACGTTAATTGTCTCGCAGAAGCGGACGGTTCGACTGCACAGCACCGCGTGGTCTTCATTGACAAACCCATCAAGAGGAAGCTCTGGACGCCGCTTGAGAAGAAGGTTCTATTCTACAAAAAGTCGGCCCTAGCAGCCCTCACTTCCTATAGAAGTGGCGAAATATTCAGGTGAAATTTCACTACGATGGAAATTATTTTATTACTGAACTCTTTGTCCTATGACGGTAACTCTCATTACCAGGACTTTAGGTCCAAGAAGTTTTGAAGACTTGAAGTATCCGCAGACCAATGATTAAGTTGTCTCATGTTCCTGTTCAATTTTCATGTTCTTGTAAGTGTAGTTACTGACCTCACCGCTTGTCACCTCTAATACGCCGTTCAGACCACCAAATCTTTCTGAAGTCCGATGCTGTCTTATAAGCTCAGGTGCATGTATTACCGCTTAAACCACAGGCAAACTGTGCTGTGAAAAACCCTGGCGTGGATATTTGCTTCAAAAGTTATTATTGTTCTAGCCCTTGCTTCTTTTCCCTGTTCAGAATGATGGCCCCGTCTGTGTTCCACCACTACGGCAGCACCTATAATGACTATCGGGCTTGTGAGTTCTCCTACGAGCCGTCCTTAGCCTCCGGTGCTGTGGACGCACGCGCTGCGTCTCCGGCCAGAGATACGAGGGAACCTGAAGCCTTCCCTGATAACCCTTTTGGTCCCGTGTCTGAGGAGGAGGAAGTTGATGTCTTCAGTGAAAGGTCAAGCTTCTACTCCCCGAGATCAACGGGTAGCAATGCGTCACCTCACCCTGAGAGAGGCATTAAGAGGAAACAGCCCGAGTCTCTTGAAAAAGTTATACAACCTAATTCCAGCAGTCCGAGAAAAGTTATAAAACCTAATTCCAGCAGTCGTCGTGAGGATTCCTCTTGCAGCCAAGAAGAAAAGGTAAACTCGAGCAATGCTTCTGATGATCCGGATAATTACCTGGGTTCTAATTCTCCTAAAGCCGGCGTTAAGGTCAATCCCGAAGTGAATACGAAAATAATGTGGAAAAACCGACGTGTTGGGGACCCTCAGACGAGAGACGTTCGCGACAACAAGACGCCGTGGCACGACCGCCTGCGCACCGACTGGAGTAAACATAAACAGGTGCGAACTACTGCGATGTAAGCGTCAACTAATATGAACTGGAAACACGGCTAATAATTTAGTCTGGGAACTTGTAAAATAACGTAGATAAGTTTTAAGATAAATCACTGAGACAGTTAATTACTTATATTTGGACCTTCGGCGTGAAATAGATTACCATATTCTGAAGTGACTTTGAAGTTAGCATAACCGTGTTTTGATCAGATCCGGACGCCGCCACCGAGCACCACCACCAACTATCACTACCACCTCTACAAGCTGGCGTGTGGTGCGCCCCCCGTCCCTGGCCGCGCTAGCCCCGCCCCCCTCACCGTACTCGTCAGGAACCACCTACATGGCATCTCCATGGAGAGAAATAAAGCCGTACGTCTAATTAACTTAACGATATTAAGTCAGGCTCAAATTATTGCTATTTGGTTATTATTGTGTTCACGCGGCGATGCCGGAACAAGAAAGGTCTGGGCAATTGTTATTATGTAATGATTATTTCTGTTTTTTGACAATGCCAGAATAAGTTAAGGCTTGATAACTGCCATTTGTTGTCAACTAACGATGAGCACTCAGTTGAGAGACAGGATTGAACGAATTGGTTCTACCTAATGATTAAGGTTCTCGCTGGGCGTTGCTCTCATCAATTATACATTTCATACATTCATGTAATGTAAGTTCTTGTTGATATATGATCAATCATGCTTGTATCGTTGTACAACTACGTGCTGGTTGGCCTTTCATTTTAAATTGAGACTAATGTATAGGTATACATTGAGGCCCCTAGAGCAGCCCGAGAGGTTAATAACACCTCTGGGGCTGATGAATAATACATTTAAATAAATCCTCATATATAAGGAAACTATATAGGGCAGTAATTGATAGAATGCTTCTGAAATTTTGAATTGTTAAAGTGGAAGCTTTGGGCGTGTAACCAGACCATTGATGAAAGTTATATCTTCTTTAATAAAAATAAAAAAAAAAAATAAAAATGTCATTGAAATGACATGGGAGATCGGGAGGCGAGCGTCCTCACAACATATACGCTGAGTAAAATAAAGACTGCCTTGCAGAATAACACGTTCAAGTCGTCGTCGTATGTGGTGTTCCCCAAGCTCGAGCATCAGGTGTTCTTCGGGTGCGAGGTGAACTCCCACACAGAGATCGTCCACCAATGGGCGCAGCTTCTCTGCAGGCCCAACTCGCAGCTTCTCCAAGGTGCGTCGTCCTAAACCACTTCCCTCCAAGGTAGGTTGACCTAACCCACTACCCTCCAAGGTAGGTTGACCTAACCCACTACCCTCCAAGGTAGGTTGACCTAATCCACTCTCCTCCAAGGTAGGTTGACCTAACCCACTACTCTCCAAGGTAGGTTGACCTAACCCACTACCCTCCAAGGTAGGTTGACCTAACCCACTACCCTCCAAGGTAGGTTGACCTAATCCACTCTCCTCCAAGGTAGGTTGACCTAACCCACTACTCTCCAAGGTAGGTTGATCTAACCCACTACCCTCCAGAGTAAGCTGCTCAAACCCATAGCCCCCATAAGTAGGTTGTTCAATTCCTTAGTCCTCCCCCTGGCCCATTGCCCTCCAAGGTCAGTGGGTATCATACGGTTGGTTATTCAAACATATAGACCTGCTAGGTGTGCTTCTCTCACCTCTCGCCTACTTCTGTGGGTTATCCTGCTATTTTACCCTCCTGGGTGGGTTATCCTAACCCTTTACCCTCCTGGGTGGGTTATCCTAACCTTTTACCCTCTAGGGTAGGTTATCCTAACCCTTTACTCTCCTGGGTATGTTATCCTAACCTTTCACCCTCTAGGGTAGGTTATCCTAACCTTTATCCTCCGGGGTAGGTTATCCTAAACTTTTACTCTTTGCACCATAAGACCGCGCTCCTTGTCATGAGGGATATTATTTCCTGAATAATTACGAATACTGTGGCCTGCCGTCGAAATTTTTGCTACAATTCGCCTGTCCACACGTGACCCAACAACCTCCCACGTGCGCGCAGTTCGCGCGTGCAGCAAGAGCGGGGAGGTGGTGCTGGCAGAGGAGCGCGATCTGTCGGAGGTGGTGCGTGAGGGCGCTCTGCCCTACATCAGGTTCCAGCCCGCGCCGCTGCTCACGAGTCTCTACGTGACCCTGGACACCCTGCGCCGTAAGCCTCCAGGCTCGTACCTCCTGCATCACCACAACAGGAGCGAGGCCTTCATCCGCCTCATGAGGATGGCCAACGACGACTGGTGGGTTGCCTTCGTTGATCAATTCTGAGCCTTGATATGAATTCTTAGTGTAAACTCAGTCATATTCAATTAACTTAGGCTTTTTTAATTATCTAATACAGTTAGGGTGTTTTTAGCTGGTTTTTTCGATGTTTGACGACGTCAGTCATAAGAATCCCCTACTTCAATTTTATCTCACAGTTACTAATAATTTGGGTTGTTTAAGCTATTGGCCCTCATCTGCCCCGCAGCCTCTCTACCGGCCACGTTTCGGTGTTCGACCTGCACGCGTCGTACGGATACAGCGGCCGTGGGGCGGCCACGGGGGCAGCAGTGGAGGGAGACGGGCCTGAGGCGGGCCAGCTGGTGCTGGACAGCAGGCAGTTCGTGAACCCACCGTGGCTTGCCATCGACACCCTTGTGCCCACGCCATTCCATCTCAAGCATCTCAAAATTCCTGGCACTTTCCCCATGGATAACCGTAAGAGCTGCGACTTGTTCAATTATTATGTGGGCAATGGTTGTGCGAGGCTCGATGTAGTTCTTTATTTTGCATCAGTGATAAGGTCTGTGATAAATTTGATTCAGAACTCGTGATTTGCATTAGGAAAATTAAGCAAGTATATCAACTTTGATTGCTTGTGTATCAATCGATGCTTGAACCTTTAATTAGATAATCGTTGAATATTTAACTTACGATTTTTATTGCAGCAAAAAAGAAGATTACTAAGAAGAGGAAAAGGTTAATCAAAATGAAGGCTAAAGATAAGAAAGGCTTGTTTGACTCTCCTGAGAAACCTTCATCGTCGAAGAACAATGAAAGCTCTGAAGACGACTCATTCTAATATCTAAATTTATGCAACGGCATATACTGTGATACTATTACTCCGTATGCAACATCTGCGATGTTAGTTACTTAAGTTTTTATTTTTTTTATGCATGCGGTAAAATGAATTTTTGTTCATTTTCATGGCAGATCTCAACATTATACAGTATGTATAGTTCGTAGGAATTTTTCCATTCTTGAAAACGATCATGGTTTAATTACAGTTTGTACATGTTTTTTTTTTTCTGTGGTTATTAGAAGATATATTTGGCATTCTATTTCTAACTGATCTCTTGAGACTGAATGGGTGCATCTAGTATGTTTTGAAAGGAGATAGGAAGTTTCCAGCTCTATTTGAGAATGAAAATCAATCGCAACTGTGATGAATCCTGAGCCAAAATCTGACTTCGGAACTTTATTAAACTTGTTTCGTGGAGATCAAAAGAAATTTGCCGGCCTATGTTTCATTAGTGTTACTTCTTTGAAAAGGAAATGTCGTCGGCCTTCAATGCCAGTCGTAATTCACGGTTGTATCTTGTGTTTTGGGAGAAACGCGGCTTCGTAATAAGTTCATTTTGAAATTTCGTTAAGCTCAATTGCCCGATAAACACTGACAATTTCGATAGATTAATTTCATTGTAAAGCCCTAAACTAATGCAATGATGCTGCATATAAATGGGATTTGAAGTAGGCTTTGCGTATGTTGCACAGCATCGGAAATTATTTGAAACCCCTGCAGACTTGCGAAGTTTGTGGCGAAAATTCTTCTCTCAATTTTTTTATTATTGCCTACAGTCAAGGTAAATTTATACACACAAAAAAATTATTCAACCATTGGTGGACTTTATTTTTCATATGGTAATAAATTGAAAGTTATCATCTTGTATTGTTGACAATCCTTTCAAGATATGTGTATAAACGATGTTTTGGATCATGATCGACGACCCGTATTACATTTACATTACTGCTTTCCCGCCTGGTTCTCAGCAGTGGAAGATGAAACGTAAGCCTCGCTAATTGTCAAATATTTTCTATGTTAATTTTAATTTTTCATAGAAGAAATCACGTAACTTCACTGAACCAGTGCACGTAAATGATTCCTTGAGCTAAGGAACTCTTGCATAGTCTCATCGCGTCTCATTACTTTCTCTTAATCCTTGACAATATGTTAGAGAGATGAAGGGGCCATTCTTACCTAATAAAATGAGAGTCCTTATATTAAGGTTTCAGTTGATGTTCGATCAGCAAAGATTACCATAATTTGAGCAGTGAGAAGAGTTTCGAAACGTCAGCAATATCATTACAAGTTGATAAAATCCTGGTTCAAATAACGAACGAAAATTTTTAGAGAATTATCTGGAGTGCTGAGCAGATTTTCGAGGAGACTCCCCAGCAGATTCGCTCTTTAATTTCCTTCCGCGCTTAGACATAAAATTTCCTAGTTAGCCCCAAATTTGAAGACTTTTTCGATTCATTGTTTGGCACCTGTGCATTTCTGGCTGTGGTGTTACCATAAAAACGTAATTAAATTTACACTATGCAGTGTGATAGTTTTGAAGTAGCCAACTGGACGATATTAATGTAAGCTCCGGAATGAAATTTCATTTTCCGTTGCCCCAGACAAATCAACGTATTATTGAGAAGTCCGAAATTTTCAGGGTCCAGCTGTGAGGTCTTGGACTCTTCATTTATTATACGTAATGTTATATCTTAGCTAGTGGTAGAAATAACTAACTATAATTAAAATTTGTGGCAAACTAACACCTACATATATTCAATACATTTAATTTCTGCTGGCATTGAACTAAATGCCTATTTGAGAGCCTGAGACCGTACCATCCTTGCAAGCAAACATAGAATCAATGGCAGAGCAGGAAGACCAGGACCAAAGCTCAGCACAAGCAACCAGACTACCCATCAACAGCACTGGAAAGAAAAGGAACTCAGCACATGCAGACCTATCCAGCAAAAGCATAATACAGAATCTACCTCCATCAACAAAAAAAGGTTCATGTCAGAAGCCTAGATGAAAATATAATCCTAGCCAAGCTTAACCCTCTGAAGCTGGCCAAAACAATAGACCAAATGTGTGTAACAGTTCAAGGAGTACAGCACCTAAGATCAGGAGGGCTTTATATCACTTGCCACACATTAGAACAAGTGAATAGGTACACTACTCGCAGTAAGAATTTTGCCATATCACAAGATAGACAGCAAAAAAGTCACTAGATTGCTTTAATCGCAGATTCACTAGAAATTTAAAAGCGAAGAAAACACCACAAAAATTTAGCATATCTCTTTTGAAAACGTTTCGGAGACCAGCTCCATCGTCAGTTCGATAAATCTAGAACACAGATAAATGCAGAAAATTAGTTTGGAGTTAATAAAAAAAACACAAACAGAAGTTAAAAACCTAAATTTACA